CTCTCGCTCTCTCTCGCTCTCTCTCGCAGGGATAGAACCGCCGCTCGTTCTCCGACCATTCATCCCTCGCCCTGTGCATCACCCTGCCTCTATCTCTCTCTCCGCCCCCCCCCTCCTCTTTTCGCCCGCCCCCCCCCCCCCGCCCCCGCGCGCCCCCCCCCCCCCCCCCCCCGCCCACTTCCACGCACGCACACACACACACACACACACACACACCACACACACACACTCCCCCCCACACACTCCCCCACACGCACACAACACACACCACACCCCACCCGCCCACCCACCCACCCCCCCCACCCACCCACACACACGCACACACACACGCACCCACGCACACACACACACACACACATACACCACCACCACCACCACACTCTTTTGCGTGTTTTGTTGTTTTATGTTTTTTTTTTTTTTTTTTTTTTTTTTTTTTTTTTTTTTTTTTTTTTTTTTTTTTTTTTTTTTTTTTTTTTTTTTTTTTTTTTTTTTTTTTTTTTTTTTTTTTTTTTTTTTTTTTTTCTCTCTCTCTCTCTCTTTCTCTCTTCTCTCTCTCTTTCTCTCTCTCTCTCTCTCTCTCTCTTTCTCTCTCTCTCTCTCTCTCTTCCCCTCTCTCTCTCTCTCTCTTTCCGTCTCTCTCTCTCTCTCTCTCTATATATATATATATTTCTTTCTCTCTCTGTTTTTTTTGTTATCTCTCTCTCTCTTGTTTTTTCTCTCTCTCTCTCTCTCTCTCTCTCTCTCTCTCTCTTTGTGTGTTTGGTTTGTATTGTTTCTCTTTGTTTTTTTTTTTTGTTTCTCTTTCTCTCTCTCTCTCTCTCTCTCTCTCTCTCTCTCCCTTTTTTTTTTTCTCTCTCTCTCTCTCTCGCTCTCTGTTTTTCTCTCTCTGTGTCTATCTCTCGTTCCCCCCTTTTCTCCCTGCCCCCCCCCCCCGTCTTTTTTCCTGCCACCCCGACAGAGTGCTCCGAGACAAAGAAGCACGTCGTCGGGCTGTCCCATGCCGAGAGCACCACCGTGAAGGCGCTGGGCTACGTCAAGGATTTCGGCATCGACGCGTCCTTGGGGCATCGCAGAAAGACAGCTGCCATAACTACTCGCACCGAGCAATCCCAAGCACGAGCGAATTGATTAGGACATTCACTTCGCAAAAAGGGCAGGTGGAGGAGACGCACGGCCATGCTCTACAACGCAAACCTCAGGGCGAGGCAGAGCCACGATTGGGCAGCCACAGGCCCCGGCCCCAACGGCGCAAGACAAGCGCGAGCTCAACCAGCAGACACGGCGGGCGTCAATGCGGGCGGCCGGCGCGCACCCACACGACCGACGCAATCTTCGACGGCGAAAATGAACCTGCCACGGCATGCTTTATTTGCCAGGGCAAGGAGTGGACCCCGACGCGGCGAGAGGAAGGTCCAGCACTCGAGTGTTTCCGCCAAGAATGGTTGGCTTGAGAACGTCGAGACGTTTTGCATCATGCGTGAGGGAGGAAATTGGAATGCTGTATATGGTCCCATGGGCGTGCTTATCCTCACTCTACAATGACAGTCCACATGGGGCCCAAGTGAACCTGGCCAATGGGGAGCTCCGCGTGGAGGCGCGCGAAGGTTCACCGGCGGCCAGGCCCTAGACTTCAAAGAGATCACCAGTGCATTGGCCGAGGACGCGAGCAAGCAGTTGCGGCACAAATCTCAGGGGCGCTATTTCGGCCAAGGGCTGCAGAATGGAATGGGCACCGCGACGCCTGAGAGAACCGCGCACAATCTCCGCAACAAAAAGAAAAAAGACAGAGCCCAGGATTCACCAGCAGCACTTGAGGCAGTTGCATGGTGCGCGATATGGACAGGCGAACGACGCCGAAGCGCGGGCTGCACCACAGACGGCATCTGCACCAGATGTGGCAAATCACCCGACACGCTCAAGCACAGATTTCACGTGTAGCATACGAACGACGAATTCAATATCGATTCGATCACCAAGACCCAGAACCGATGCAGAACCCTGACAGCTGCGCCTTCTGGATATGTGGGCTAATATCTCAGCGGCGCATCCCAGTGCTGGGTCCACCAGCTTGGGGGGATTGGGGTGGCTGCTATTGCGCCGCGGCAACCGAAGGCCCAGTGGTGATTGCACAATGCACGGCAGCGGTAAACTTTGCAAAAGCCGACACAGTTTTCACCGACGGCCTAGGCACCAGCAGCGGCAAGCGCATCAACAGAGTTGACTGGGGAATCACGCCACTTGCAGAAGGCCCACCAGAGCCGGAGGGGGCAGTGCTCGACGGGCGGCGCGATGGCGTGGCCAAGGAGACGGGGAGCAGCTCGCTGAGCACCTCAGGGCCTCACCCCATGCCAGGGGCCGCCGCGCGACCGCTCCGGGCGGGGGCGGCTTGAGCTCGCTGCTGCAGGCCGCCCAGGCGATGCGCAACCAGCCACCCACGGGATCCGAAGCCGATGGGCCTGATACCGACCTAGCGCATTATGATCCGAATTGGATATGGTGCGCACGCGGAGAGCAGCTCCAAGACCCAGCTAATCGCCAATATTGGCGCGCCGCATTTCCGACGACGCATGTGGGGCACCCTGGGCGAGAGGAACTGATCAGGGCGCCCGGAAAGCGCTATGGTCGGCAACTTGACGCCCAGCGCATAGAAGACATATGCGCTTCGGCGCGGGAACCCGCGAGGCCCGACCGACGACGGTTCCGCGAATGTCTGCGCAGTTGCAGGGAGCGAGAATCGGAAATGATGGTGGAGGGGCATTGGCAGGTTGCCAACGATATCCTCAAGTAGTTCCGAGACCGTCTACGCGGCCAGGCCCCGTAGTATCGACGTCGCCACAATCGCCCAGCTCGCGAACGACAGGAGCGAAGCCTCGACCTTCTTCGACAGTGCCCCGCGCGCCCCTTGGTGGGCGATGGGGCGTTTGGAGGCAGCGACGCATTGTAAGGGCCCACAGGTACGAGTTGCCCGCCCAACCAGGGGCAGCGGCAACGACCTGACGGGGAAGTTTCGACCCGATACCAGAAGTGGGATTCAACGGGCGCAGGGGTGCAATGATCGCATCGATGTCACTGACGGAGGAGGGCAGATCGCGGGCACAAGTGACGCGGGACACTACGCCACTATCGACGGAGAACGAGCAGACAGGTCTCTTCTGGGCCCTCCTGCCCACGCACGGCCCCGTCACCATGTGCACTGATGGCCAGCAGGTGCGCAATGGATGGGTACAGCAGTGCTGCCACCGTCCACAGGGTTTGCTGATCGGCTCGTGGCCGCGCATTGGTCAAGTCTTCCAGCCGCGACCTGGACACGACCACCAAGTGCAAGTCATCGAGTGCATGTCGTACTTGGGCAAGGAGTCGCTGGCCAAAGCTGCGCCGACATTGGACATTTGTCTTGGGGCGTTGCAGATGCAGTGGCGCAACGCGCTGCGGAAGAGGCCATCTTTGCTTTTAACCAGGAGGCGCAGCATCTGGCGGGCACGGGAGTACCCCCAAGCAGGATTCAAACCAGAGCGGTTGCCATCATCTACGAGATCTGTAAGTAATGACGTGGACGTGACCAAGCACGAGGGGAAGCCGCCAACTTCGCTCCACAACGTCCGAGAGCGCCGCGGCCAGCTGGAGACGAAAACGGGGCACAACATTGTCAAACAGAACGGACAGTGGGTACGCCAAGAGCGTTGGCAATCTCCTGGTAAGTATAGCGCCATCGATTGGATGCAAGCGAGCGTTTGCAGTGGATGGCGACGTGGGACTCATCGTGCTGATCATGGACATGCAGATCCTGTTCAGACCAATTTCGTGGCCGACGTGCACGGCAAGGTGATCCACCCCAGTCACCATGTGGCGATATCGCATGGGCAGTTCTGGTGCTGGAGATGTGCGCTTGTGGCATCACGGAAAGGTAATGGACGCGCGAGGCTCAATCTGCTGGGGCCGAAGCTTGCATGGAGAAGGTGGCCATGAGCAAGAGGCAGGCTGCGGCTGGGGCTACCACCTAAGGCTTGGCAGTGCGGGCCTGACGGCGCGAGTCACAGCTGGGCCTTGACGTGAAGAGCGATGCCCACATGGATGAGCTCACTGGGTATATTCTGCCCTGGAGCGGCAGCGGGGTGGTGGAAGGGGCCTGCGCCCCTGCACTCGCGACCCCTTGAAGGACGCCTACCTGAAGGCGTTCAGATCCCGCGCCGTGGGCGCGGGGGTGGGCCCGCTGCGGCCTCGTCGACGGCGGACACCCCTTGATCCTCGATCCTCGATCCTCCTCCTCCTCTCCTGCCGCCCTCTGGGATCACCTGCGGGGCCTGCGGGGTCACCACGGTGTGCGCGTGCGCCTTTTGAGAGGTCGTTGCGTGCATTCGCTGGGCGCAAGTCGTGTTGACAGCGTCGACGCGCCCCGAGCAGCCAGGACATTGAGATAAGGCCAGGACGTTGGGATAAGGCCCGTCTCTGGTTCGGAAAAGAGTCGCTGCTTCATGGGCTGTTCCGTAGTCGTTAACCTAGCCCCCCTCGTGCACCCAGGCTCTGTTGGTACCGACATTGCGGTGTGTTTCTCATTTCGCGTTCCTTTTCGCAGCAGCTTGGCTGCAAATGTTTCTATTGCGACCCTTCCGAGGAGAAGCGCGGGCCACCGACACCGAATCGGGGGGAGGCCCACCCCGGGGCGGTGGCACGCCCGAGCGGCGCCCCATACTGGACGACGCTCCGGCGTGTGCCCGCCCAGGGGTCGGCCCCTGCTGGTGGGTTCTCTGGACATGCCCGCGGGGCCCGAGCCGGTCGAGTTTTGGAGGCGGACGCGGCCGCGGCGGCGTGGACGCCCGGGGGCGTGCCGCCTCGAACCCCGATCGACCAAGGCCTCCAGACGACAACCGTTGCGACAACGGCCACGACGAACACGAGCACGACGGCTCCGGCCAGGACGATCACGACGGCGAGCACCATCACGACGACGACCAAGACGACGACTTCGGCGCCGGCCATGATCGCGCCGTGCCGCGCGCCAGATACTGCCCGCACTTCGACGCTCAGGGCAACAACGGCCGCAAGCTGACGTGCATCATCTACCTGAACCCGTCCTGGCAGGAGGCGCACGGCGCGCGGCTGCGGCTGTGGCCGCAGGCCCACGGACTGCTCCCCGAAGGACTGCCTGCGCGGGCCTAGGGTGGAAGGGCAGCTGAAGAGGAGGGAGTCGGAGGAGGAGGAGGAGGAGGTCGTACCCATACCGCTACTGCCCCGGCCTCGTTTTCGCCTTCTTGGGCTTTCTGGGAGGCCCTCGTCGCCACCGCTGGATTCGCTCGGCAATTCTGGTCAGGACGCTTCCTGGGAGAGGTCCGGGGAGTAGCGGTTTTGGTTCCTTTTCGTTCCCCCAGGGAGGGGAGGATTTGCGCTCCGTCATTCGACGCAGGACGCGGCAGGCGCCGTTTCTTCGAAGTTCCCTCCACATGTGTCGCACTTGCCTGGCCTGGCCTTCGAGGAGCAGGGCCCGCGCGCAGGGAACTTGCCCACTGCCGGGCCCCCCACTTGGAAAGCAGATCCGTTCTTTACTGGGATGGGAGGTTTCGCACCAATGAAGCCCCACTCGGGGTGCGCTGATCTGGGTTGCGTTGAGGAGGAATGGGGAAGTGGGGAGGAGGAAGAGGAGGAGAAGGAGGAGGAGGAGGAGGAGGAGGAGGAGGTGGAGGAGTAGGAGGAGGAGGAGGAGGAGAGGAGGAGGAGGAGGAGGAGGAGGAGGGGAGGAGGAGGGGGAGGAGGAGAAGATCTTGGACCGCGCCCCCTGGACGCTTCCTCGGTTCCGCTACCTGCGCTGGCCCCTTCGTCTGCCAGGCTTCTCGTCTGTCTCGTGGAAGGCAGATCGACGATCCGAAATTGAAGACGCGTGTCTGCGTTCTGTTCTCCGCATGTTTAACACACATATACACCACACGTAGGTAGTAGAGGGCGACACCCAGCGCGGTCAACACCTAAGCATCATACACACGCATCTACAGCCGGTGTGCGCACTCCATACGACACTAGACAAGACCTCGCGTGTTTCGCAACTCCTAGCAGGCGTGGCACTTTCTCGACGCCATAGGGGGTGCGCAGGGGGTGGTCCCTGAGCGCGGTGTCTATCCACGACACTGTCGCAAAGACTAGCAGCCGTGGCACTTTCTCCACGCCAGAAGGGGTGTGTAGAGGGTGGTCCCTGAGAGCGGTGTCTATCCTCGACACTGTCGCAAAAAGCCTCGCAGACGTGGCATTTTCTCGACGCCAGAGGAGGTGCGCAGAGTGTGGTCCCTGAGCGCGGTGCCTATCCACGAAATTGTCGCAAAAAAACCTAGCGGCCGTGGCACTTTCTCGACGTCGTAGGGGGTGCGCAGGGGGTGGTCCCTGAGCGCGGTGCCTATCCACGACACTGTCGCAAAAAACCTAGCAGCCGTGGCACTTTCTCGACGCCATAGGGGGCGCGCAGGGGGTGGTCCCTGAGCGCGGTGTCTATCCACGACACTGCCGCACAGTCTAGCAGCCGTGGCACTTTCTCGACGCCAGAGGGGGTGCGAATTGGGTGGTCGCTGAGCGCGGTGCCTATCCTCGACAGCGTCGCACAGCCTAGCAGGCGCGGCACGTTCTCGACGCCAGACGGGGCCCAAGTGCTTGGCAGGATACGCCCAGGCCTGGTCAAAACCTGCCTGCAGTCTCTCCAATGACCTGCCGCTCAATTGGCAGGCCCTCGTGGACCCCCCTCCCCCGCCTTTATGTTTCAAGCCTCCTCAGAAGGGCCCTGAGGGCATCAAGGCGGCCCACGGGAGCCCCCAAAGGCGCCCAAGACAATCCACGAACGCCTCGAGATGGTTCCAGCTCGCTCCACGGCCCGCGATGGCTTCAAACAGGTTTGAGAGTCCCTCGGGGCGTCCACGAGCCATCCAAGAGGATTTCCACGAGGGCCCCGAGAGGACAAACCATTGATTTTCCACTGGTTTGCGAACAGTGCCAACGGTTTCGCCCTTTCGAGCTTTCGACGCTCCAAGACGGCCCAAGAGGCCTCCGAGACCGCTACAAAACAACACAAGATGCCCCCAAGAAAGCCCCAGACGGCATCCGTATCCATTTTGGCTCAAGGGGCCTGGCGTGGAGCGTGGCAGACGCGCAGCCGCCCCGGGCGGCCCCGCGGGCGGCCTCGGAGCGACGGCGCACAAGTCCAACCCGTACAAGAAGGCGCGCTCGATGTTCCGGTGGACGTGGAAGAAGAAGAGGACGCGCCGGCTGCACAAGAAGCGCCGCAAGATGCGGCAGCGCTCGAAGTGAGCGGGCCAAACCGGTGGACTGCTCGCCCGTCGTTCCGAGCTAGATCGCATGATGCGGATCAGTGTCGCGCTTAGGTGCTGTCATGCAGTTTCTGTTAGAGCTCTCACCCTCATCGGCCTCGCCCCAATTTTGGAGTCTGTTGGATCTGTGCGTGCCGTTTACTATTCTACGAGGTACGGAGAGGCGTGTTTATATATATATATATATATATATATATAATATATATATATAAACACAGGCGGCCTTAGAGGTGCCCCAGACGGCCCAAGAGTCCTCCACAACGCCCCAAGGAAGCCCCAAGAGGGCCCAAAGAAAGTCCCAAGAGGGGGAGTTTGATGTGGCGTTTCGCGCTCTCCGCCCCTATGTGACACCCCAGACCGTCAGCAGGCGCCCAACCGAAGGGGCACCCCAGAAGCCCTTTTGGAGGCCCACGACGCTTCCGAAACGACCTCCAGGGGACTTCCGAAAAGCCTTCCCAGAGATCCTTACTGTCATCCAAGAGGCCTCTGGCTGACAACCTCGGCAAAGTGTGGGTGACGACTGTTCGAGGGGGCACGGGCAGCCGTCGCGCGTGACACCTCGTGTCTCCAGGCTTCGGAGAGCCGTGGCGATGAGTTGATGTTGATGATGATGTTGATGGTGATGATGGTGATGCTGGTGGTGATGATGATCATGTTGCTGATGGTGTTGATTATGATTATGATTATGACTGTGATGTCGATGTTGATGGTGCTTCTGGTGATGATGATGCTGCTGATTCAGATGCGGGTGATGATGCTGATGTTGGCGGTGGTGATGGTCATGTCGATGTTGGCGATGCTGATGTTGGCGATCATGTTAACGATGGTGGTGATGATGGCGATGCTGTCGATGCTGGGTGTAGTGTCGATGATGAAGATGATTAGGACACTGCTGCTGTTGCTGCTGATGGTGATGAATCTGATGGTGACGGTCTGTGATGGTGATGCTGACGCCGCTGCTGCTGATGATGATGACGATGATGAGTAATGATGATGGTCAGGCCGAGGTTGGAGAATGAGTGTGACGACGATGCTGCTCCTGATGCTGATGCTGATGCTGTTAAGGATGATGTTGATGATGATGCTGACGATGCTGATGACGACGATGGTCTCGATGATGATGACGATGAGATTGGTGATGATGATGATGATGATGACGCAGATGATCTGCGCGCGTTCCTTCGTGATGCAAATCGAAGCGTAAGCGCCAGGCTGATATTTAGGAGTGTCTTTGGGGTTCAAGCTTTTTCGCCCATCGCCTCATGGGAAACCTGGAAGGATCCATTCTCCGTGAAATCGTTCGCGAGGCGGCATGGTTGCTCGGCAATTCGTTTCCTTTTTTCGTAAAGCCAACCGAGTCTCCAGTGCCCGCTGTTCTTGCGTGCCCATCGTTTCCTCCGCGCCCGGACTGCGTGTGCAGCCTCTCCGTGCCAGCGATCCCAATTCCAGTCCCTGAACGGCCAGTGACAGTGCTGACTAGCGTCCCGAAGTCGTGGGAGTAATGCATCGAGCCCCCAGTAGCCGGCATTATGTCGGCCATTCAATTGTAAGTCGGAATCGTGGTTGGATGTTTCATAAGAAGGATGCGGGGCGACACGGCGAGCCACGAATCTGATATTGCGTGCTTGGCGATGTCGCAGCTTGATCCCATCAGAAAGTACTGGGCCAGAAGCCTGGCACGAACATCTAGTGACCGCAGCCTCGGCCGCAACTCCAAGGTTGAATGCGGTTTACACGGCTGACGACGCCCACTGGGATATCGAGCTGAACGCGGCCAACCAGGACCCCGTGGTGGTCAAATAGATCGGGCGCCAGGGGTCCACGCCATTCGGCGTCGTAGCCGACCCAGCGTGCCGCTTCCAAGCTGAACCCCAATTGAGGCGGCTCCCAACAGTTTTTTGCGCGACGGCATCCCTTCTTGGCAGCCGTCGCGGGGCCAGGCGCACCAGCCATGGCGGAGCATGTGCCGGGCGTGGCGCCACGGGCCACTCGTCGTGGTCGGCGTGGTGGGCAGGGCCCTTTCGGGCTGACCTGGCGCCGCCCAGGCTGCGCAGCAGGCCCCGCCTGCCGCCGCGGCCTCATCTGTCGCGGCCCCGCCCGCGCCGGGCCACATTTGGGCTGCCGTAGACGAGCTAGGCGACGATCGCAGGGGCGACGAGGTCCGCGACGTACCAGACGGCACCCTCTTCAACGGCACTCGGGGCAGCGTCGACGCGACGAACGGGCCTGCGTGGGTGCGCCAGATTCCCCAGAGCGACGTGGACGCGGCCACAAACTATGACCTCCGCGCTCTCCCCGCTCGTTTCAACTCCGCGGGGGTGCGGAGGCGGGTTCTTGCAGCAGCCGCCGGGATCACGATGGGAGACGAGCCTGACGGCGGCATGGGCCCAAACGGACCTCGCACCACCATGCCTCTCCTCCTGTCGATGAGGCACAAGGGCATCCCGCCCCCTGTTCTGCATGAGTATTGACCCGCACCGCTGGAGAAGCCTCACGATATAGGTCCGCCCACCAACGCGTGGTTTTGCGCTCCGAGATGGACTGTGTGACCTCAGCCTTGCCTTTGGTTAGCGCTCGTCTTTTTTCCCTCGTCGGTCCTCCCCCCGCCGATTCCCCTCCTCGGTTGCGAGTGGCGGGCAGCGGCTCCCCCTCTTAAAGAGGGGGAGCCGCCTTAATCCACCCCCTTCCCGTCCAAGCGTGCATATAGATAGGGGTAAGGTGTTAAGTTAAATTAGGGTGCGGGTTAGGGGGTTCGGGTTACGGTGGTCGGGTTCGAAGGGTCGGGTTAGGGTTAGGGGGTCATTATCATGGTTAGGGTGTTAGGATTGGCATTGGGGTAGGGGTTCGGTTATGAGGGTTAGGGTTAGGGGGTATATGGCTAAGGTGATAGTGACAAGGGTATAGGGTTAAGGTGGTAGTGTTAGGGTTACGGTGTTAGGGTTAGGCTCAGGGGGTCTATAAGAGTTAGGGTTATGTAAGGTGGTAGGCTTTGGGAAGCTAGGCGTAGGGGGTTAGGGTTATGGTGTTGGGATTCGAGTTAGAGGGTCGGGTCAAGGGCAGGGGATTGGGGTCAGGAAGGTTAAGTTTAGGGTGGCAGGTTAGGTTTATGGTGTTAAGATCGGTGTCAGAGGTTAGGGTTAGGGTGGTAGGATTAGGGTGTTAAGGTAGTGGTTAGGACAAAGGTGTTCGGGTTAGGGGGGTCGGGTCAGGGTTAGGGGGGTAGGGTTCGGGTTATGGGGCTAGGGGCTTGGCTAGGGTAGTAGTGTCTAAGTTTAGGGGTTCAAGGTAAGGGTTAGGGTTTAGGGCTTCGGGGTTGGAGTTGGGCAGTCGGTTTTGGGTTAGAGTTAAAGCTATGGTTAGGGTTAGGGCTACGGTGAGGGTCAGGGTAAAGGGCTCGGGTTAAGGTGAGAGTAAGGGTTGGAGTGAGGGTTAGGGTGAGATTTAGGGTTAGGGTTAGGGGGCATGGGGTTCGGGGTCTAGGGTTTGGGTTCGGTCTAGGGCTTATGGGTTAGGGGTCAAGGGTTAGGGGTTGGGGTTGAGGTCAGAGTTAGGGTTAGTGGCTCAGGTGGGCTTGGCGCCGTCGTCGTCCGTCGTCGTCGCCGTCGTCGTCCGCCGTCGTCGTCCGCCGTCGTCGTCGTCGTCGTCGTCGTCCTCCTCCTCGTCGTCATCTTCGTCGTCGTCTTCGTCGCCGACGTCGTCTTCGTCGTCGTCGTCGTCGTCGTTGTCGTGGACGTCGTCGTCGTCGTCGTCGTCGTCGGTCGTCGGTGGTCGTTCGTCGTCGTCGTCGTCGTGGACGTCGTCGTCGTCGTCGTCGTGGACGTCGTCGTCGTCGTCGTCGTGGACGTCGCCGTCGTCGCCGTCGTCGTCGTCGTCGTCGGCCGTCGTCGTCGTCGTCGTCGTCGTCGTCGTCGTCGTCGTCCGTCTCCGTCGTCGTCGTCGTCGTCGTCGTCGTCGTCGTCGTCGGTCGTCCGTCGTTCGTCGTCGTCGTCGTCGGTCGTCGGTCGTCGGTCGTCCGTCGTCGTCGTCGTCGTCGTCGTCGTCGTCGTCGTCGTCGCCGCGGCTGCCGCCGCCGCCGCCGCCGTCCGCTCGCTCGCTGCCGCTGCCCCGCTCGCTGCCGTCTCTGGACGCGTGGGGCCACCGAGAGGCCGCGAGGGGTCCATGGGCGCCCCAGAGCCCCCGCCGCGGGTCGAGCCCCCCCTAGATTGCACCACATAGATTGCTCCAACTTGCGCACATAGCATATATTGCACCACATATCTTGCACCACTGGATGGCACCACCTAGATTGCAAGAAATCACTGTTTGGTGGCCATGCTGGCTAACATATTTGTTTACTGGGCCGTGGCCTCGCGGAATGGGAGGAATCGCGGCCATGGGAGCGCGTGGTTCTATAATATGGTGCACGTGTCGGGGAGGGGTCAGTCTGAAGACATAGTTCAGGGTATGAGCTGCTAGCGACACTGCAATGTTGATGATGGCCGAATGGGTGGAATGATAACGTAGCACCCCGCTCTTGCGGATAAGAGTCTGGGGGGGCGGCGGTGGCGAGAACGGTGCGTGAGCGTAGTGGCCCCATGCACTGCTCCCATCTATAGTTCCCCCCATGTATTGCCCCCCATGCATTACCCCAAGTAATGCCTCCATGTATTGCCCCCATGGATTGCCCCCAAGTATTGCCCTCTAGTATTGCCCCCAAGTATTGCCCCCAAGTCTTGCCCCTATGTATTGCCCCAAAGTTTTGCCCCCATGTATTGCCCCCATGTATGGTTCCCGAGTATTGCGTATTGCCCCGAAGTATTGCCCCCAGAAACCGAGCCCTCCAAGCAGCCACGCACGCGCAGGGAAGAAGTATGACCGTTCGGGCCCCCTCACTCTGAGCAAGCTGGTGCGCCGGCGGACTTACTTCGCGTCGCCTTCGTCCGTAGCCATTTTGGCTCATGGCAGCGGGGGTGCCTCGGAGGCCCCAGCCTCAGGAGCACTGAGTTAGCTGCTCTTTCATTTCTCCTAGTTACGTGCTCCGTTTGGCGGGAAGGGCGATGGGGAAACATGCCCCTCTACAGACCACGGCACCAGGAAAAGGAGTTCAGACAGCCCCCTCACGCAAGAAGAAAACCATGGTGCAGTCAGCAGCCGAGACTCTTGCCTTCAGCACTTTGTCGTTTATGGACAATGACAGTCAGAGGAAGCACTGGAGGCGTTGCAAGAAGAAGGCCACGTGCGACCTGTGCCACTACATCATTTTCAAGAACAAATGGAAGCACTGCTTCTTGATGGAGCCGCCGGGCGGCATCGACAAGTCGTGTCTGTCCGCCCAGTCCCAGCAGTTGAGCCAGGGCACTTGGCTGGATGCGAGATGGACCCAGGGGGAGAACAACGATTTCGTGACGGTGAAGCTCGGGTGCGTGGCGTGCAACCAGTCCAAGTGCGAGCGGGCGAACTCGTCGAAGTTGGGCAGCTACACCTACGCGGGAACGAAGAGCACCTGCAAGAGGAAGCAGCTCGCGTCGCATGCAAAGTCGGATACACATCAAAGTGCGATACTCGAGTACTTGCAGATCTCGGTCGGCCCCACGATGAAAGCCATCCAGGGCGCTCCACCCATTCTTGAATTCAAGACGGTATGGGACGCCGCATGCAAGGGGCAGCGAACGGTTGACTCTGTGGGGCAGTTCGAGCGGATCAAAAAACTCCAGTGGTGCCTTTGGGAATCGATCAAGGAGGCTGACCGCGAGTTCCCGATGAAGGACGGGGTTCAGATCACGTTCCTCAGAGATGAGCGCCAGGGTCGCTTGGCTCTACGATACGTCGCGGTCGACAAGCACTTCACTATCCGCAGGGGCGTGGTAGGTCAGACGAAGGCTTTCGGCACAGGTTCGGACCAGATCAACCAGGCAACGTTGCACATCGTGACGTCGCTCATGACTAAGCGCATTCATGCTCCCAGGGGCAGCCTTGTGGAGGTCGACAAGCAGGACATCATGCAGGCCCAGATTGATGCCAGATTGGTTCTGGAGAAAGTGAAAGTCCTCACTGTCGATGCAGCCTCCGACGAGATCACCGCCGGCCGCATCGGTCGACGTTCCATCGATGAGGGGGGCATTACGCCGAACTTGAGCATGATCATTCGGGACAAGACCCACGCTTCCAGGAGGACCGCGCGGGGGAGGTGGATAAGGATGACGAGAAGGAGGATGAGGGATGGATGGATGGATGAGGGAGGAAGGATAACGATGATGATTCGGATGAGGGAGGGTGCCCTATAGCACGTCGTGAAAATCACCTCCTCACGACATGAAAGAAGGAGGAGGAGGAGGAGAAGGAGGAGGAAGAGGAGGATGATGGAGGAGGTGGGCACGCAAAAGGGCTACAGGCCTCTTGGATGTCTCTCGGGATCTTTTGGGATATCTCTTGGGCGCTTCTTGGATGCCTCTCGGGGCTTCTTGGCGGTCTCTTGACGGTCCAGGGGGGCTCTTGGGCGTCTTGGGCGTCTCGGGGGGGGGGCCTCTGGTGGCCGCTTGTGATCCTGTCCTCTTGGGGGCCTCCTGGGGCCATCTTGGGGCCTCTTGGGGGCCTCTTGGGGCCGTCTTGGCGCCTCTTGGAAGCCCCGGAGGCCCTCTTGGGGCCATCTTGGAGGAGATCGATCAAAACAGAGGGGGTCCCTAATTAGCCCCCCCCCTCGGGAGCCCCCAAAAGCGTCGTCTCTTAGGGCGGGCGCTCTTGGAGCGCTCTTGGGCGCTCTGGGAGCCGTCTTGGGGCTCTCTTGGGCCTCTCTTGGGGCCCTCTTGGACCATCTTGGGGCCATCTCGAGGCTTCGGATGGCCATCGGTTGCGAAATGGCGAGACACCAAAAACTTTGATTTCCTGTAAGTGTTTGGACGGTTTGGGCGGGGCCTCCTTGGCGAGCTCTTTGGCCACATGGAGCCATCTTGGGCGGTTTGGGGGCATCTTGGAACATCTTGGAAGCCATCTTGGGGCATCTTGGGCAATCTTGAGCCATCTTGAAGGCCATCTTGAAGGCCGAGGCGCTCTTGGAGCCATCTTGGGCCATCTTGGACGCTCCAACGCGTCGCGCAACCCGCCGTCCAGGTCCAGGGGCGGGGCTGGAGGGGTAAACCCCTCCCCGAAGGGGAAGAAAGGGGTTCGGAGAGGAAGCTCTCTAGACCACCTACGCCCTAAAGGGCTGGTGGGATTTAATTCCCTACCTAGGCTCTGCCTAGAGGGTTCTTACTTTCTTGGCTTAAGGGGGCCGGGCAGTGACACTCGCCCCAGGCGGTTCCCCCAGTCCCCGCCCCGCGGTTCCCCCAGTTGCGCCCCCTGGGTGAGCTTAGCTTAGCTTCGCTTAGCTTAGCTTGCTTAGCTTAGCTTAGCTTAGCTTAGCTTAGCGTAGCCTAGCCTAGCCTAGCCTAGCCTAGCCTAGCCTAGCTAGCTTAGCTTAGCTTAGTTTACCTTAACTTAGCCTAGCCTAGCCTAGCCTAGCCTAGCTTACCTTAGCTTAGCATAGCTTAGCTTACCTTAGCTTGGCTTACCTTAGCTTCGCTTAGCTCATCTTAGCTTAGCTTAGCTTAGCCTAGCCTAGCCCAGCTTAGCTTAGCTTAGCTTAGCTTATCTCATGTTAGCTTAGCTTAGCTTCGCTTAGCTTATGCTGGTTTCCTAGGGGCTCCAACTCCTAGGTAGGGTCGCACTGGGATAATCTAGCTTAGGGCTTTGGGCGGGGGGGGATTGTTCTTGCAAGCTTCGCGAGTGCAACCCCAGGACAACGAAGAAGCCGCAGGATTGCGACCCCACGCTCAAGATGATAGACGACAACATTTTCAAGAGCAGGAACTCGATCGTGCAGCGGATCCACCACTCCATGGTGTGGCGCTCGGAGCTGGAGCGGTACATCGTCGAGATGGAGCAACGCGTCGCCACCGTGAAGAACGTCAAGGCGGCCAAGCATCGGCACGAGAGCGAGGCAAAGCCTAAGGGCAGGTTCTGCCTCTTCATGCCAGCCTTCCTGCAGGTTGCTAGCTGCATGGCCGTCTGCCGGGAAGGCGAGGAGAAGGCGGACGCCCGGAATTTCATGCGCCTGATCTCAGAGGAGGTCTGCATCCAGGTAGCCACGATGGCGGATGCTGCAGATGAAGGGCTCCAGTTCACTCGAGAGTTAGATGTGGAAGAGACCGACACGGCCGAGATGGCGTTCCGCGTGAAGACGTTCCTGGCCAAGTTGGAGTATCTCTTCAACCAGGAAGGGTGCCTGACCACCCTGGGGTACACTCGCCACATGATCGACCTCCTCACTAGCACCGTTCGTGTTCTCAGGATCTCCAAGACGCAAGTGCGAAGCATCGGTGGCCCGACCTGCTTGGACGATGGCATCGCCGTCCAGACCTGCCTGCAACGAATGCGGGCTTTCGTGAAGGTATCCATTTCGGTGACCGTGGCCGAATTCCCCAACTACGAGGTCGTCTCCGCTTTCCGAATCTTCTGCTTAGACGAGAACAAGAGGTCCAACAACCTTGACGACCCAGATGTTGCCGCTTGCTTCGAACGCCTCGCGATGTTCTACAATGTAAGCAAGGAGCAGCTTCAAGCCGAGTTCGTCCACCTGGGCCAGGTCGCAAAGTCGCGCATGATCTTCAACGGGTGCTCAGTTCGTGATGCATGGCAGTACGCTGCGACTAAGGCCTTGGATAATAAGAGGACGACGCGTTTCACCATGACAGCGTTGGGAAGCGTCTTGCAGGCTTACTTTGCCATCTCGATTTCCACAGCCGGCGTCGAGCAGGACTTCTCGAGGTTCAAACGCGTTTTCGGTGAGCAGGCACTCGGCGCCCTGGACTCCACCGAGGCCACGGTGGCAAAGCTCGTGCTCGACCGATCCCACGTAGATCAAAAGGACGACATCATCATGCAGCGCGCCCAGGAGATCTACAGCGAGAACTTCAACAAGCCCCGGGGCCGCAGCGGCATCGCTCGCATCGACAAGGGCGTGAAGCGGCTGGTCGATTCGGACGCGAAGGAGGGTACTGAGGCGGAGTGGCAGCGACGGCGGCGCCAAAGTGTCACCGACGCCGTGGCGAGTTCAGCGAAGAAGTTCGAGGTCGGTGCCGACACCATCGAGGTCGGCGAGGGCACCTGGCAGGATTCGCACCAGAAGATGATCGATAAGCAGGTGGCCATTGACAGGCGAAACAAGGCTGAGGCCTACATGGACGGCGCGTTGATCAGCTCAGAGATCGACCAGCAGACCAAAGACGACTCTGAGCAGATCATCAAGAGGCGCATTAAGAACGACCGCGAGCGCAACAGCAAGCAGAAGGATTGGACACTTTTCACATCGTCCAAGAATGCGCTGGACCTCGCCAGCGTGGCCAACGTCCACTGGCACATGGACGACAGCGCGAAGCAGGCGGTCACGCTGGAGCAAGCCAATCTCGTGCTGAGCGAGGCCCTGATGGAGACGAGCCCCTTGAAGGCGACCTTCTTCTTGACCAAGGACACCGGCCTGGAAATCCATGTAGTGTAGGCCCTCGCGCCCCCAGCTCGTCCGCCCTAGAAGGGGGAGCGGGGGGTTCGAGAGGCATTTCACTACATGGATCGCTGGCCTTTCACAAGGATCCTGTGAAAGCCAGCTTCCGCCAGACGTGGACTGCGACGTTGGTGGGCGGGCTCATTGCATCTCCGAGCGTCGTCTTAAACAACGGCAAGGGCGCCGTGATCGCCTACAAGAGCGCCTTGAGTGCGAAGAGGAAGCTGTACATCTCCGACGGCTTCAAGGACGCCCACAAGAACACCTACAAGATTCTCACCGATGTCGCTTTCGCGTCAAGGAACTGGGTCGAGCCCCCCACGATCGAGGACTACAAGGACGCCGTCAAGAAGCACAAGAAGGAGCCGGCCAGGGTGGCCTACCTGAGGGTTGCCGGCGAGGTCGTCGAGGACCTCAGGGTGGAGGAACGGAGGGCGGGAAGGAGAGGGATAAGGAGAATGAGGAGGAGAAGGAGGAGGAGGAGGAGGCGGACGCAAAGGCGGAGAAGGAAGGGAGGATGATGAGTGGATGGGGGGCCAGAGCCTCCTCATCATCCTTCCGTTTCGCCTCATCCTCTCACTAACTCCTCCCCCTCCTCCATGTCCTAATCGAGATCATCGCCATACGAATTGGCATCACCATCATCGTCATCATCGTCGTCGTCATCATCATCGCCATCATCGCCATCGCCACCGCCATCATCATGATCAGCCTCGTCAGCATCATCGTCACCACCATGATCATTATCATCGTCGTCGTCATCATCACCATCACCATTATAATCGTTATTCTTGCCTGCTCACTCCTCCCCCATCCCTCCTCCCCCTCCCTCCCCCCCCCCCTCCTACTCACTCCTCCCTCCGCCCTCCCTCCGCCCTCCCTCCCTCGCTCCCTCTCTGCCGCCTCCCTCCACTTCTTTCTCCCTCCCTCATCTCTCCTCGCACACCCCCTTGCCTCCCCTGTCCTTCCCCTCACACTTCTCCAGCCCTGTCTCCCCTCCACCTCCCACCCCGCCCGTTCCCCCCCAGGAGGTCCCAGAGGGCAAGATCAAGGTGTACACTTCGTCGGAGTTCTTGACTTTCGTCCAGAAGCTGGACAACCAGAGGGCCCAGTGCTAAGCTAGTCGGCGAGACCGCCGGGGTTGGCGGGGGGGACTGGCGTGACCGCCGGCCAGAGCAGCGTGAGACGTTGTTCCTGCTCCTGCTGCTGCTGCTGCTGCTGCTCATCTTTTTCCTCCTCCTCCTCCTCCTCCTCCTCCTCAGGCTCCTCCTCCTCCTCCCCGTGCTATCGGGCGGGCTGGCCTTGGGTCCCGATTGGGGCGCCAGCGGTACCGCGCCCTCTTGGGATGTTATGTTCGGTGCGTCTAGGGACTTTGCGTGGCCTGGAGGGCCCTCTAGGGTTGACGCCACTCGTGTGCCCCCCGACAGTGATTGCACTTTGATGGGCGCCAGTGCGTCGTATGTCGCCGCTGCTGCCGCCGCCGCTCCTCCTCCGCCGCATTGCGGCCTGTTTGGGGTTCGCGCTGCGGGGTTTTCGGACGCCCCCCCCCCAGCGTCCCCAAGATGCCCCCCCAAAGCAGCAAGCTCCAAAGCTTCCATCGAGCCCCGAAGCTTCCAACGAGCCCCCAGGACTCCCCACGAGGCTTGATCAAGTAAGCTTTCCAAGAGATCCCAAGGTGCCTCCATGAAGCGGACTTAACACTGCTTTGTGTAAGTCACATCTCACACGCCTATTTGAAGGTGGCGAGGGGCAATGCGCGATGCCATGCCATGCTGTCCTATGCTGTTCTGTCCAATGCCATGCTGTGCTATGCTAAGATCTATGATATATGATTCGATTTGCTCTACTATGCCATGCTGCGATACGCAATGCGATGCTACTGCGCTATGTCGTACCATGCTCTGCTATGCTATGCGATGCTACGCTTTGCCATGCCGTGTCATGTCATGCTATGTTGCGCGATGCTATGATATACTATGCTATGCCATGTTATGCCATAGCTCGATCTGTGGTTCGAATATCCTCAATGCTCGGCGCACAAAGCATAGTCGCGGAAAGCTAACAGAAACTTGAAAACACTCCATTCAGTGCCCGCGGCACGGCGACGCGCGCAGCGAAACTATATATATATACATATCTATATATATATATGTATATATATGTATAATACATACATGCATACATACATGCATACATACATACAGACAGACAGACAGACCGACAGACAGACAGACAGACCGACAGACAGACAGACAGACAGACAGACAGACAGACAGACATACATACATATATCGCCCCGTAACTGCGGATAGGAGTGAGGGGTCGCGTGGGCCAGCGCGACGCTTGCGACCTAACCGCGACCCGCCCGCGACCCGCCGGCCCCGGGCTGCGCCGCGACTCGCCCTCGACCCACCCGCCCAACGACCAGCTCGCGACGATGACGACGACGACGACGACGACGGCGACGACCACGACGAAGACGACGACGACGACGACGGCGGCGGCGGCGGCGGCGGCGGCGACCGCGACGACGACGACGACGACGGCGACGACGACGACGAGGGCGACGACGACGACGACGACGCCGACGACGGCGACGGCGGCGGCGGCGACAAAGACGACTACAACGACAAGGGCGACAACGGCGACGACGACGTGGCGACGGCGACGACGCGAATCCGATGACGACGACAAGGGCGATGTCAATGACGACGACGACGACGACGACGGCGACGGCGACTGCGACGGCGACGGCGACGGCGACGGCGACGGCGACGGCGGCGGCGGCGACGACGACGACGACGACGACGACGACGACGAGGGCGACGAATGCGACGACGACGAGGACGACACCGCCGATGACGAATGCGACGACGACGACGAGGGCGATGACGGCGAGGAGGGCGACGAAGACGATGGCGACAACGACGCGGGCGACGACGACGACGATGGCGACGACGACGACGACCGCGATGACGACGACGACGACGACGACGAGGGCGACGAGCATGACTAGGGCGACGACGACGACGACGACGACGACGACGGAGACGAAAGCAAAGCCGACGGCGATGGCGACGGAAACAACGACGTAGTGTGGTATGCGGGTGTGTCGCGGGTGGGTCGCGGGATGGGTCGCGGACGGGTCGCGGCGGGTGGGTCTGGCGGTGGGTCGCGGCCGGTGGGTCGCGGGTGGGTCGCGGCGAGTGGGTCGCGGCGGGGTTGGTCGCGGCGGGTGGGTCGCGGGGTGGGTCGCGGGTGGGTCGCGGGCGGGTCGCGGGTGGGTCGCGGGTGGGTTGCGGGGCGGGTCGCGGGTAGGTCGCGGAGTGGGTCGCGGGGGGGGGCGACAACAACAACAACGACAACAACCGCGAGCAGCATCCGCGCCGTGGAATCCCACTGCGGCCACGCACCCATGGACAATGAATGACCGTTCGGGCCCCTCACTCTGATACGTGTATGTGTATGTATGTCTGTCTGTATGTATATAAACATATATATATATACATACATATATATATATATGCACACAAATATTGGCGCGTGCGCGCGCGTGCGGGAAGAACCGAAACGCACGCATGTAAAGCAACCTTTTTGGCTGGGCACCCAAGTTGCCGCCGTTTTTTGTGTTTTCTTTTGCTGCTCCATGCGAATTCCTTACAATGTCAATGTGCGATAACACCAATTTGTTTTCGTTTGACGCGCAACTTTTTGGCCTCCCTCAAGGGTTCACAGAAGTTTCAAATTCAGGTTTGTTTCTAAATGAATTCGACATGTAATTTCAAGAACTGAATCAACAATCTCTTTGAACCCTTAAGGGGGGCCGACGGACGCGCGCGGGTGACACGTGTCACCCGCGCGCGTCCGTCAGCCTCCCTTACTGGTTCAAATAAATTACAAATTCAGTTTTTAGAACTAAGTCGACATGTAAATCCAAAAAAACTGAATTCAAATTTCTTTGAACCCTTAAGGGAGGCCGACGGACGCGCGCGGGTGACACGTGTCACCCGCGCGCGTCCGTCGGCCCCACTTACGGGTTCTTTCAACTTCAGCTGTTAGAATTCAGTCGACATGTAATTCCAAAAAGTGAATTCAAGGTTGTTTTGAATCCTTACGGGCGGCCGACGGACGCGCGCGGGTGACACGTGTCACCCGCGCGCGCCCGTCGGCCTCCCTACACGGATCAGAGAAGTTTCAATCTCAGTTTTGTTTAACGAAGTCGACATGGAACTCCAAACACACGCATGTAACGCACCATATTTTGCTGGGCATCCAAGTGGCCGCCGATGTTTGTTCGTTTGCTGCTCCATGCGACTTCCTTGCGCTGCCATGTTGCGGACTTGTTTCTTCTTGTTCGTTTGACGCGCAATTTTTGGATACATTTGCGAGGCCCCCCCCCCCCCCTCCTCTTCGGGAATTCAAATGTCGGTGCTTGGCCATGCGCGGCGTCGGCGAGGATTGATGGGCACTCGGATATGCGCCTGAATGTCCATCTTTCCAAGGCGGCAGCGTCAAACATGTTTCGGATGTTTTGTTTTAATAAATGTTTGTTTTTTATGTTTTTGTTTGGCGCGCAATTTCCTGGAACGCAACTTGAAAGCGTTCCCATTTGTTCAGGACTGTTTCGATCGTGTTTCTGACTTTTTTCGTTTGACGAACACCTTTTCAAAACAAAATAAATGCGAGCATTCCCCCTTTTTCTGGAATTAAAATGTCGGTGCTTGGCCGTGCGCGGCGTCGCCGGGGAGAGATAGACATTCGGGTTTGCGCCCGAGTGTCTATCTATCCAAGGCGACAATTTCAAACATGTTTCGGACTTGATATTTTTGTTCGTTTGACGAACAACTTTTTGAAAAAAATGCGAGCATTCCCCCCTTTTCGGGACTTAAAATGTCGGTGCTTGGCCGTGCGCGGCGTCGCCAGGGAGAGATAGACACTCGGGTTTGCGCCCGAGTGTCTATCTATCCAGGGCGACAGCTTAAAACATCAGTCGGGTTTTCCGTTTTGGCGCACGCCTTTTTGAAAAAATGCGAGTGCTGCCCCTTTTTCGGGACTTAAAATGTCAGGGCTTGGCCGTACGCGGCGTCGCCGGGGATAGATAGACACTCGGGTTTGCGCCCGAGTGTCTATCTATCCAGGGCGACAGCCCAAGCAATGTTTCGGACTTTTTTTCTTTCTCTTTGACGCCCAACTTTTTGACAAATTTGCAAGCGCCCCTCCTGTTTCGGGACTTAAAATGTCAGTGCTTGGCCGTACGCAGCGTCACCGGGGATAGATAGACACTCAGGTTTGCGCCCGAGCGTCTATCTATCCAGGGCGACGCCCCTCTAAATGGCCTGCGTTGGAGCGCCCCCCCCCAAAAAAAAAAACTCGGCGTTAAAATGTCGGCGCTTGGCCGTGCGCGGCGTCGCCGGGGATAGATAGACACTCGGGTTTGCGCCCGAGTGTCTATCTATCCAGGGCGACAGTTTCAAACATGTTTCGGACTTCATATTTTTTCCTTTGACGAACGACTCTTTGAAACAATTGCGAGCATTCCCCCTTTTCGGGACTTAAAATGTCGGTGCTTGGCCGTGCGCGGCGTCGCCGGGGAGAGATAGACACTCGGGTTTGCGCCCGAGTGTCTATCTATCCAGGGCGACGCCCTCGGGGACGCGAACATCATTCGGGAGTGTCTATCTTCGAGGGGGCGGCGCCCCAGACACCGAGACAGCCAGGTGATAGCCCGAGTGTCCTGCCACCCCCGCGGGCGCAATATGGATGGCCTCTGGGGGTGTCCAGCCCTAGACCTTTGATCATTCATGTTGCGCCCACGGGGGTGGCAGGACACTCTGGCTATCACCTGGCTGTCTTGGTGTTTGGGGCGCCGCCCCCTCGAAGATAGACACTCCCGGATGATGTTCCCCCTTGTCCAAGTCGACGTCCTCGCCCCAATCCGCGTCGTCGTCCTCGTCGTCCGCCCTCCCGTTTTGCCCCGTCCTCATCGTTTGAATCATCCTTCTCACCCTCCTCTTCCTCGTCGCCGTCCTCGCCCCCTTCATCCGCGTGCAAATAGCCATCGCTCATCTCAGAAAGATAACCAAACACATTAAAAGTTATACAGCGGGGCGTCCTGTCA